TGGTGCTGCGTGAATACAAATTTGAAATTCGACTGTGACCAAGAAAAAAACGTATTCAAAATTCACGAGTGGAGCAGTAATGTGCACTAACTCCCCATTCAAGTTCCATAAATACACAACACGACAAATCGCTATTCATAAAATAAATAGAATTGCCATTGACTGGCGAACATACTGGCTGTATCATTGCCCTAATTGTAGGCGCTCGTCTCATGGAAACTGGACTGACAGCGAGACAATCAACAATTTCGCACTCAATGCAGTGCAAAAAGGCACCATAAACAGGGACGTATGTTTTTACATGCACAGAGAACCGTGAACGTTTGGTTCTATTGTGGCGAAGTTGTCAGTCAAATGTCAATATTATACGGTTATTTGGTTTGTAATATCAATAATAAGGGCAGTCGCACTCATTGTTATTCTGCCTAATTCCCCAGTCTATACAACTGTTAAACAACGCTTTCTGTAAATAGAATACCTTCTGTAAGAACAGAACACGCCATGTTAATTGAACACTTTCCACAATTCAGCCATTTTCTGTAAATCGAACGTTCCCTGTCACGTGTGAACACCTGTAAAATACAAATTCTATGTGAATTGAAGTGCAAATCGTACAATGCTTGTAGACTGAACACTGTCTGTAGATTGAAAACTGCCTCTGCAGATTGAACACTGCCTCTGCAGATTGAACACTTCCTGTAGATTGAACACTGCCTCTGCAGATTGAACACTTTCTGTAGATTGAACACTGCTTCTGCAGATTGAACACTTCCTGTAGATTGAACACTGCCTCCGCAGATTGAACATTTCCTGAAAATCGTACACACTCGGTAGATTGAACTCCCCAACCCAACAACACACTCCTCTGTAAAACACGTGTAATAAAATGTGTCGATTTATTGGAAGTCAACAGAAGTACAAACTTAGTATATAGATTGTGCAATGAAAGACAATTCATAAGGTGTTCATGTATTTTTATTGAGGTGCATTGTGGGAGAATATGTAAAGATGTTGAAAATCCCTGACAAATTGAAACATTGTATGACAATTAAAGATGACCAGGTTCACTAGAACTGCCATTAACAGAAAATCTCATCATCACCTGTAAAACGCCCATACATATGTGCTCATCACGCATACTAGTTGGAAATCCATTACGAATTGACAAGCAATTATTTATACAGTACACACGTAAGATACTTAGGAAGTCAACCCTAACACGAACTATTCGTCGACTAGGCACTTAGTGAAAAGGTAAGAGTGATGCAAGAATCCATTGTCTCGTCTAAGTCATGTACAAGCCTATGTCAATCACGGACCTTCTGTAGCACCGATTGGCACGGAGAGCTGCCAAAGCTTTGGTGAGTGTCTCCACAATATATACTACAGGTTAAAAAATGGCTATACATCACTATAAGGCAGTCACAGAAGAGTTAGAAATGGCTACACACTTCCCACGGCGTAGTCCCAAAGTAGTTATAAATGGCTATACATTCCTACAGAAGTAGTCACAGAAGAGTTATAAATGGTCATACATTCTTACCAAGTAGTCACAGTGAAGTGGCCACATATCCCTATAGGATAATCACTGAGAAATTAGAAATGGCTACACATTTCCGCGGGGTAGTCACAAGGAACTCAGAAATTACCACATTTCTCTACAGGACCACAGAAGAGTTAGAAATTGACACATTCCTACAGGTTTGCCACAGGGGAATTAGAAATGGCTACAGATCTACAACGGAACGTTGCCCGGAATGCAAAGCTGCAAAATCACGTAACAACTAGGGTAAGCATCATGAAATCGATATTTTTTAATTCTCGACCTTTCATCAATATTTCCGCCCTGTTATATTTGTCATGAACTAGTCTTCATGCATCGCACTAATCCGCGCTGTACTAATCTGACAGAATAAATGAAGTCGCCGGTTGTGAGAGATAAATTGATTGGATTTTCGAACAAGCGCGATTTTACGTCAGAGCATATTACTAGTATCGCATCATTTAAGTAAGCGTGACAGATTGACTCTTGTCTCACCATGTACGTGGACAGAACACGGTCCGTGGAAGATGTGACTGACATAAACGAGATTTAATAGATACCTACTTATACACCGATGTACCTACACCACAAACTTCTTTAGTTATTCGAGTTTAAAGCGCCATGGTAGTCACGCAGTGTGTGTTTTAATGTTGGAGAACAATGAAATTACAAGGGATGAGCCGTACGAATATCGAATATAATGCAGCGTCAATAAATCAACGCCCTTAAAGATGCATCTTGAAATGAGTATTTTTGAATACTCTTCAGGTCATGAGGTAGAAAGTAAAAAAGTACAAATATTGTCTTTTTTCATTTTCATATGTTCGACATATGTTACAAGGATTAAGAAAATAAAATAAAAATATGGGGTCATTGTACTAAGTTTAGAGAAAACCGATCAATAAAATACAGTGAAAATAGCATGTTTTTTTAGGGCATTTTACCTTTGTTACCTATCTCGATATCTCGATTTTGCTTGGTGACATATGGTAAAAAAGATTTATAATGTCTTACAAGTTACTTATTGATGTCAAGTATTAAAATATTGACAATATTTTTAGTGGTTTTTAGTGGTTTTTAACGAGGTAATCGTATTATTTTACCGTTTTTCTCAAAAAACAGATTGACAGTGAACCCCAAAAATTCACATACTGTTGACTAATACTAAAGTGAATAATTGACACAACATTTGTTACTGCTATATGCGCTAAAATATGCGCACATGTAAAAAAACTCGTGAATAGCAGTCTACCTTAAAAGTACTCGAAGTTTAGAACATTGCCTAACGAGATATTTTCTGTACCGGAAGTATACCGCGTCATGTAGCATTGGTGGGTAACCGCGGAACCTCGAATCAGTTACAAAATATTCTTCGAGTAGCGAACCTGATACTGTTGTTCCAAGATTTGATTTGTCTAAATGTATCTCCAAGATACGCATTTGAGCGGTACAGCTCGACAGATCTGATGTACGCAATTGGAAATTTATTTATTTATGAGTAACCATACGAATAAGTATATTTCCACAGGCGAGTGAGCATAGCTAGATGAGTACGATGGTGATATCCTGCGGCTGGGATTTCTATCTCAAATCATGATTCGTACCCAAGTTATGTTAGTATTTAATAGTGTATAGTGTTACAGAAGGAAGACGATTGGTTAAGAAAGAACACGTGATTAAAATATGCACACTGCAGTTATTACAAATAAGGCACTTTCACTGTACTTTACTGCATGTTTGAATTAAAAATGACATCCCAATACTGCCCAAAAGGAAGACAATGCTCGAATTAACATTCGAGTCACGTAATGTACTGCCCACACTGAAACGAGAGAGCTTAGTGTAACATACTAATTCCGACTTTGCACGTTGCCGACTTGTACCCGTTGTCTCGTCGATAGATCGGAACAAGTGTACTATTAAGACGAACCCTGGATTTTGTAAGTTTTATTGGCCAACTTAAAATACCATTCTTTGAAGACAATGCCCAGTATTATAATACCATGTACAAACAAACAAGTCATCCACTGCCAAGTCAGCGAGCTACACACATGGTGCTCCATGCTACACACACAACCCCTAAAACTAACACCGCTTTGCACACGTTCAATAGTGAGGGAATATGTTATAAACATTTCCATTGTAGGCTTCGTAATACCGAAAATAACAATATATAAATTGAAGAAGAGCATCATGGATATTCTCTAGTTAACTGTGCACAAACTCCGAAAATGATGACAGACAGAGACACAAAGAATTTCACATTTTGCTCCATGAACATCGTGACCTTGTCCGTACGTGTATAAAATGTTTTTGGAGGAAAGTCAGTTGATGAGCATGTTGAGGGGTTGTGCACTGACCGAAGGTTCATTAGTGCATGGTAGTTTAATGCTGAATATTGTATTTGAAATATGAATCACAAGTAAGTTTTGCGGACGTATTTGTCTCAAGTGATCGCGTTAAAATGCATCTTATGTTGACACATAATCAATGAGACTAAAACGGTTTGCATCATTACTGTTATTATTCAATGCTCTCAACTGTTATTATTCAACTGTCCTTGTGCATATTTCCTTGAAATAACCTTATTAGTATATGTCTTGGCAATCAAACTATTATAAGAAGTACAGAACTAGGCAAGGTGATAACAACGTTCTCCCTATGTGTGCGCAACAGTTTCATATTTCGTCATTTCTAATAAGATGTGATGCAGAGACCTGCAGAGACATTATGACATTCTGTAACTTTTGACGATATTGTTACATATAGATAATTATCATACATGTAAATGTACATGTGTACTTTTATACCTTTGCCTTAAAATGAGACCTTGCAACACACTGAACGCGAAATAGTCGTGGAAAATATACGTAATTAAACATATAGGCCTCAGTATGTGAAATATGGAGCCTACCATATATGGGGACAATTTTCCTAGTAATTCCCTTTTGAATTGTTGCTTACAATGTAGTCTCGCGGGACTTCAACCAATCGTTTTAAAAGAAGACGCTGGCACCAGCTCGTCTGATTGACTAAACAAGCTCTGGCGTTTACGGCAAACACATTGAAGCCATTGTACATTCTGTCAGAAATGAATGGAGCAGATGTAAGGAGATGGCTATATCGCCCTCCATCAATTATCGACTGAGCATATGTTTGACGGGGATGGATATCTGGCTGCTATAGCATATTCTGTTTAGCGTATAGCGGATATCATACAGAGGAAATCACAGAACAGAGGAAATCGGGATGGTATATTAATGGAATTTGTAAGAGATTAAATAATTGACTTGGACAGACAACCATGCATGTTGACAAATTCAAGTGGGATAGATATTCCACATCAAAAGTACAACAATAAATAAGTTCAGCACCACAGTGATGTCAATCGATAACACAGTGATATAAATCTGACTTATAGTATAGTATAGTATATCGATGGTGGTAGACGACAGACAACAAACTGCCAAGCTGTCTCATCAAATGAATAAAAACAAGGTTAAGCATGCTGATCTGATGTTACTAGAATCTAAGGCAATATACAAACCACGATATGTCAGCATGTAGGCAAAAGTCTCACTCCACATACTGATATACATGAAATGATAATAACAACCTGGATATGAAGCATAATTAGCATATTGAATTAGTGAGTCACAAATCCAAGACAGGGCAAGTGTGTGGTCTCAATGGAGTAGTTAGTAAAATAGAAAACATCGTAGAACCGGAACACGCCACACTTAGTCTAATATATGCATATGAAAACAAGTCTGTATTATTATGTTTTGCTTATAAAAATATGCTCTTTTCCATCTCACCTAATATTTGATATAGTATATATAAATTAAAGTCTTTTCTAAAAGTCAAAATCACGGGAATCTCAAATAAAATTACATGAACATGTAACTAACTAACCAAGCCTCTTAAAATAATTCTTTCCTTATATCTATGTGATCTGCT